ATAGTTTACCTGTTGAATTAATTATATATTCACTAAGATAAAGACAATAATATTGATCTCTTACTAAATAGATTATTTACTAAGAAATTACAATACTACTTTGTATGTGTGTGTGTGTGTGTGTGTGTGTGTGTGGGGGGGGGGGGGGGGGGGGGGGGGGGTCTTTGTGGAAGCGAGTGTGTCAACTCTGTCTTCTGGATCCCCAGTGAGTCATGGCGGATGGCTGCTCAGATGCTTAGCCAGGATCCTCTGGAGGTTTCTTCCTGTTGAAAGGGAGTTTCCTTCTCCACTATCGCTACATGCCTGCTTATTATGAGGATTGCTGTAAAGACACTGACACCAGTCAGTGATTTGATGCAATTTGCTGGGTTCCTTTTGTAGGAAACTTTTTACTGACTGGCTTAATGGACTGAACTATTTACTTTGTGAAGTGTGTTGAGAAGACACTTGTTGTGATCTGGCGCTATAAAAATAAACTAAATTGAAAACTGAATATGTAATGTTGTCAATGTATATGACCTGAACCAGGGGAAGCATGTAGAGATTGAAGAGCAGAGATCCAAGAATTGAGCCTTGCCCCCCCCCCCCCCCCATGTCATTGTGCATTTTTAGCTTTTAGCACAATTGTACTGTAAATATGAGAAAATTAAACCTCTAAATACAGAATGCACTCACGCAAAGTAAACCTGCACACAAATCAAAACTGTATTTTATACTGTAAATTCTGTTATTTCTGAAAGTTTTGAGCATTTACTTATTTTTATTAACCATCCCACTGTCTTTATGGGTGACCCCACGAGGAAAGTTGACCATTGAGCAGGATTGATGGTTTATTTCTTGAGGTCCACATGGCAGGGGTGAGGTGATGCTCACTCCTCACCCCTGCCACATGGACCCAAACGATAAACCATCAACCCTGCTCAATGGTCAACTTTCCTTGTGGGGTCACACCCATTACGACAGTGGGAGGGTTAAATTGTTATTGAAAAATACTTTGTTCAATGCATTCAGGGGACATGCCAGCATTCTGTCGACCTTCAGGTTTTGCATTGCTAAACCGTAACACAGCGGTTCCCAAACTTATTTAGCTGCGCACCCCCTTCCATGTCCCGACCATGTCGACGCACCCCCCAGCCCCCACATCAGGGCATGCTATATATATATATATATATATATATATATATATATATATATATATATATATATATATATATATAGCATATACATATATATATTTTTTCTTTTATATATATATCTATATCAGACGTCAAGCTACGTCAAGCTAAACAGTCACTCGACAGACAGGGTTAAAAAAAGTATGATCGATCTCGAATTCATACGTCATCCCAAAATAAAAGCTAATATCTTAATTTGACCTTGAATGAAAAGTGTTTTTCTAAAACCTCTTAAAAGTTTTTTTATCACAGAGGAGGCAGTGCTCATTTCTACCTTCAGTCTGACGGCACCACGCAGCGTGCGCTTATTGAATCTGTGTGTGTGTGTGTGTGTGTGTGTGTGTGTGTGTGTGTGTGTGTGTGTGTGTGTGTGTGTGTGTGTGTGTGTGTGTGTGTGTGTGTGTGTGCGCGGCACAGCTCCACGAGCCGCTCCACGGGCCGCTCCAGTCACCGCGTCTCGTTATTGGAGCTATTAAACCCAATGTTATAAAATTACTTCTGCCCAGCCCAGATGTGCTCACTTGTGCACCCGTGAGCCGTGGTTCCGCTGGAACGCGTCTGACCTCTGACAGACGCACTCTGAACTTCAGAACTTCAGAATGCTAAAATGCTCAGATGGGAATCATTTCTTGATTTATTTTGTTACATCCACAATGTTCTGTGTGTGAGGTTTACAATGTCAGAACACCTGCATGAGACAGGGTGTTAATTACAATCTGCCAGAATGACTCACCACCTTCAGATTTCTCCAACATCGTTAAAAATGATCAAATAAGGATCTTGCTATTGACAGCGTGCGCAGGCCAGAGCACTGAAGCTCAGCGCATTATTATTATGAAGCTAGGGCACATGCGGAGGACACACACAAGCTAAATATACTTGTTTTCAATTACATTTATTGGGCCCACTTACTTTTTCTTAGGCCCACCCACAAATGAGTTTCTGGCTATGCTGGTGACATATGACAGACTTCTCTGAGCTCCGCAGCCATTACACTTTTCATCTCGCGCACCCCCTAGTGGCAGCTCGCGCACCCCCAGGGGTGCACGCACCACACTTAGGGAATCCCTGCCGTAACACATCAAAAACTGCACAAAATGACATCTGCAAGATGTTAGGATAATTTCACATTTGTAATAGAGCTCAGATACAGATTTGCAGTTGCAAACATTTACACACTACATGTGGCCAAACGTTTGAGTGCTGCTTAAAATTTTCAAGCAACTTTGTTGCCTTGGAGAACACAAGCTTTGAGGGCATTTGTGAATACAACTTTCCACAGTATTTAATTAACACCTGGTAATTGAAAGTAGCTTATTATAAAGCCTAAAGGTAGGCCAACATGACCTACATACCAGTCCCTGTTAAGATATATGGAAGACATGTATATCACTAGAGGTGATAAGACAAATTGGAGACTTTCCATGGTTTCTAATCTCATGATGTGAGTGCAATTATAATGAATACCAGAAAAGAAGTTAGTTTTTAATGTGGATATTCAAGAAAGGTCTAACACACAGTAAGGCACACTGCATGGATATATTAACTGCAGGATTTTTAACTAAAATGTTGTCTGTGCAGCCATGTGCAAAAAGGAAAATGCTTTTTTTTTAAACTTCTCGGTAAATTACATGTAATACAATCGTTAGGGTTAGGTAGGTTAGGTTAGCAAATCTTTACTAGAATTGTGCAATTAAAGTTATGCAAAGAGCCTTCAGACAAACATTAGGTTGACATTTAATTAAAGTGACGTGATTCTACCTTTAAGAAAGAAAGCTTTTTCGTAAAGGGTAACTAGGCAGTTTTGGCTTGCTTTTAGCACCCCCTAGAGTCCATTTGTAGAACCGAAAGCAAAACTTATCTCCTCACTCTGTGTCTTTCTTTTTAACACCTTCATCTAACAGCTGATTTGTCACTGTGTTCAATCATGATAAGTGCATGGTGGTCCTTCAATGCCCTTCATCTCAGGTGCTACCTTTTTTCCAACAGATATATGTGAAATATATTTAATGGGGGAAATGAACAGGATTACTGGATTATATGAGTAATCCTTCCATTAAAAGTTGTTCATTGCAGTTTTAAATACCTCTTTTCAAACATTTAATCCTTTAATCCACGCCTCACATCAATGCCTGGCTCACAGCTTTTTAGGGTAGATTTTCAGGTTCTTTTGTTGACACTTTTACAGTCTCCATGTCACTTAGGTCTATTGATTGTTTCATGCAAAGACACGACAGCATTTGTAATTGTGTTCATTGACTTCAGTCACTTTTATAAGGTTTACTAATTTAACAGAAGGATTATCTTATTGTCTTATGTGTGATGCAGTACAAACTGAAAACAACATTGTTTGCATCCACTGATAAATCGTTTGACTTGTTGGATGTTGTGGTCAGATGTTGGACCAGCCAGATTTTTTGTTAAACCTACAACCATTCAAGTTAAAAGGCAATGGACTACGAATTTACAACATTGTCATATCAGCTGTGATGATAACCGGCTGGACAGTCAGGGTAAAGTGTAAATAAACTTGCAGAAAGCAGAATTTTAACATCATAAAGCAGAAGGTGTGGTGTATGACAAAAAGAGGTCCAGTTAAAGACGCAAAGATAAAATAACACATTTGTGCAATGATTTCATTGTTTTTTACAGACCAGACCGGCCTTTATAAATATCAAAAATGAAATAGTGGTGCAAGAAAAAAAAAGCTACGGGTTAGTGTAATAAAAGTGATGGAGGGGGGGGGGGGGGGGGGATCCTACATTGATCAAAATGTTTGGTTTTTCATCCAGGAGCAGGGATCCAATTATGGGGGGCTAGATATCTTTCAGGGAAAGATCCAGTTTCTACCTATATTACAATATGGACTCTCAGCGTAGCGGGATTCTGTTGAGCTGAGAGAAAGCAGAGCGCTGATCGTTGGTGCGCCCGCTGCATCCGGTGCACGATACATTCTCAAGGTGGCGCAACAAAACATTATTATTAAAACATGATCATTCATATCTGTTTAAATCCTCTAGTACTGTCTTTTAATCGTTCCTGACGCACTCCGCTCATCGTGTGCTAAGGTGATTTCACCTCACTGACGCAGAATTGAAACGCGCACTCCGCAGCCACTATTCTTCACTTTTCTTATTAATAAAACGTTGTTGCAACATTTTGCAATAAATATGCAAAACATTTACATATGAATTATTTTAGAGCCCTTTTGTTGGCAGAATCTGATATTAATTTTAGCGCTTACACTTTGAAAAAAAAAGGGTTCTAACATGGTTTGTGTGTGTTGCCACAATCTTTTTGGAAATGGAAATGTGGTCACCCTAGTCTAACACCAAATCTAAAGCCAAGCGTAATACTCAGTCGTACTTTTGCAAGGGCACTTTCCAGCACAGTGGTCTGGCCATAGTATGCTGATTTTTAACCCTATTTACTTAGACACTACAAATCTAATAATGATAAAAAAACGGGTCTAATAATTACACATTAACTTGTTCTTTCGTAGCATTCATAGCCTAAGCCAAAAATATTGCTTGAAAACCGGTTTTGGTGAACTGAATCAAATTATTTGGATCAATGAAAAGCCAACCAAAGTTCCCATCACAGCTGCTAGAAGGTACGTTTGCCTCTGTTATCTAAAGCAGCACATTCGTGAAAAAATAAATCCCTACAAATGAACAGAAACGATTAATTGTTGTAAAGTAATAAAAATATCCGACAAAATTATAAATAAATTGCATAGTTTAATTTTACGTTACATTTAAAATTTACAGCTTGCGGTGAGCATTGGTGCATTATGCAAGAAAGTGTTGACCAGCAACTCAACTTACGTTTACGTAATCTAACATGGCGACCGTCAACCCGTAGATTTACACAACGACAACAAGTTTTGACTATCGAGCATTTGGTGACTTGAAAACCACCACGTTATACTTCTTATTAATATAATATTTTTCCGAGTGTTTGAGATGTATCGCCGCGGAGCAAAGAAAGACCACAACATCAAACCCGTGAAAAAGGACTTGAGTGACAGCGATAAGTACGCGGACCTCTTGGTTTTCGGCTATGCCTGCAAACTGTTCCGAGAGGACGAAAAGGCTGTTTACCACGATCGTGGAAAACATCTTATACCATGGATGGGGGACAAGAGCATCATGATTGATAGGTCGGTTGAACAAACTTAGACCGAAACATTATGCTAACTATCTCTGCTAATCCGTTAGCCTGTTTGAAAAAAGAGGACCGCTAAGAAGTTTTACATTGCAGAAGTTCGAGAGGACCTGAAACAGACGAAGATAATTTGATTCATTCTCTGCTACCTTATTTCTGATGTTTTTGATGAACTGAAAGCAAATAACGTGGAGTTTCGACTGTAACATGCTAACATGCAAATGCCTCAACTCGTTGCTAACGTCATGCTAGCAGGCTACCAAACACTCGAGGAAGTTAATTTAAATCAGAAACAGGATACACTTTACACTTGTACACATCATTCTGCATTTTCTTTTTAATTTCTGTCCACAATTGTGTGCAAAGTAAAATATATCAAATATTTTGTTATGATCGGCTACTCGGGTCTGTTTGGCCTTGCATATTGGCATGTTAAATGAGCTTTCTCTGGAGGCACAAACTTAAAATTTCTAATCGTGGTTAAAGTAAACTCTGGCAAATTATTTCTATTATTTTGGAGCTAAAACTTAACTTTAAAAAGTAAACTAACTGCTGAATTTGCTGCATGAAAAAAATATGTTTTCATTTGATGGTATTCCCAGAACCAGAGAAAACTCTATTCCACTCTAAATTCTCTGCAGTGAAGGTGATTCAAAATGGCTCAGTATGTTAAACTGTGGTGAAAACATCCAATTGGTTTTTTGCATTTTTCTAAATGTTTCAGTAGGTTTGCAATGTGTATTGTGTTGTTAGTGGCTATATTTTGTGTGCATTGACTTTACTGAATCACCTTGGTCTGCAGTGACCTACTTCTGTTTCATTTGTACACAATTTGTATGTGTGTCTTTATCACATAACCCACTTTCCCTCCCAGCAAGTTAGGCATAGGGGTCCTTCCAAACCCCGAATGTCAGCCACAGCATCCCATTACTTTGTCTCCATGAAGAAACCACAACAGAGTGATGCCATAGAGGAACGAATCCTGGAAAATATCGTCCATTTGGGTTCTTTCGTATAGGTATTTATGTGCTCGGGTTTGTGTGAATGTAACTTTCTTTGCAGATTTAGAAGTAATGATGAGTGTTACAGGGGGGGGGATAAACCCTGTAAGGTAAGAGGCGAGTTGATTTGTTTGTCTCTTTCTTTTTAAATTTATTTATTTATTTGTGTTTTAGGGTCGTTGCCTTGTAAGACTTGCTCAGGAAGAACATATATGCAGAAAGCTTGCTAGGTTTATTTTTATGACCATAGCTTCTAGTCAAAACATCATTATGTAATTTGAGAAATATTTTACCACTTTAGTTTTTGCGATTATACAGTTATATGACAGAAAGGAGATGAATTTTGATGTTGTAAAGTATGTATTTTAGGTCCCACTAACTTTAGTGAGAAGGTCTGTTTTTACACAAAAAGCTTCTTTCTTTCTAATCCTGGTTATCATCCAACAGATATGATGGACGGGGTCACTTACATGACCTTTCAGAGTATGACAGCGGGTCATGGAATACGTCCTACCAGCTGTCTGAGGAAGAGGCAAGGATTGAGGCGCTGTGCGATGAGGAGAGGTACCTGGCTCTGCACACCGACCTGCTGGAGGAGGAGGCTAGACAAGGTGAACAAGATGCTGATTTTGTCATTCAGTGATATTTCAGAATAATTTGACACATAAAAAGTAGAAAATTGCATTTGAAATTATGTATCAAAATTAAAAAGTTTTATTTCTCTGCAAGGCCCTTCAGGTAAATATGGTGATAAATTGCATCCATGCTCAAGGTAAAGATTACATCATTTTTGAGCTGATAACAACGCCATCATAGCAGTGCAGTTAGACCCTCAAGTGTATGACATTGTGATAAACAGGGAATACAGTGACATTTTCACCTGCTTCTCTCTACAACAAAAAAGACTTAAACATACCACCTGCACACGTGTAGTATACTTCCAATGAATGAGGGTTAGAAAATGACAATATTTATGCTTTGCCTGTAATTTATTCTGCTGATCTTTTGTCAATTTTGGTGGTACTTACTTTTTATGCCTCTCTATAACAGTTTATTATTATTATTATTATTATTATTATTATTATTATTATTATTAATTTATGTGTCTGTGTCATTTAAGCTCATTAACATGCCTCAAAGATAAAAGATGATTTAGATTTTCATCTTTCTCAGTATAAAATCAAGCTAAAAGTCTGCTAGCTAACATTTAAAACCAGCCTGGCTTTTCCTCATCTTTAAGGACAAAACTATCTCTGATGCTGTTACTTTGACAATGTGAAAATGTAATTTAATCGCACGGACTAAAACTGCTTCATGGGAAGTCAACTCAGCTGAATGAACAAAGCATGTATCAGGTTATTTCACATACAAAAGCAATTTGTCTCTTTCTTGTGCAATGTAGTGGTAATTACAGATAATTAGTATTAACATTGCTAAAGTATCAGATTGGATTAATTGAAAGATATTATGAAGATTATGTTCTCACTAGTTGAAAGGGCTGAAAATACAACTTTGTGAAATTATTGCATTAACAGCATTAAGTCAACAAAGTAACTTCACAACATCACAGTTAATCAGTTTTAATCTTTAGCAGCAACATTATATGTGAACATTGCTCTATTATTCATTGAAACAGCCAATCATGTGGTGCTATTTATAGTAAAATGATGCAACAGTAAATAGAACATTAGCTGCCTTATGCTGAGAGTTGCTAGTAAGGCTAATTCATCAACACATCCAGCAGTTAATATAGAGAAAATCACCAACTCACTGTAAAGTCATGTTCGCAGAACGCGGCTAGAGATAATCATCTATTTCTGATAGGGATGCACCGACATGAAATATTTGGTCCGATACCAAATTTACAGTATTAAGATCACTGTTATGGCCGATAACCGATATTTGCTGATATTGATATACTGACATTAATGTTTCAAAAATCAGCAATTTAGCATAGAATGAAATTTATTAAAGCTGTGTTTACATTGTTATGTACACATAACACACATTTACATTTCTGAGATGATCAGAATTACTGTCACATGACTAAACAATTACACATCACCCACCTTATCCCCTGAAACAGATAAGCAAATGGAGACAAGATGGAAAAAATATTGGTTGTTAATATCGGCCCGGCTTTATTTATCGGACCGAAATCGATATGTTAAAAAATGACCAACATCGGCCGATACCGATAATGATGCCGATATATTGTCCATCCCTAATTTCTTACATCTCTACAACTCACTTTCATTTATCAACACACGTTAAGAGAGGTCAGGCTTGCAGTGTGTCGCATCTAAAATCGTCTGTTTAGTTGACATTACCAAGTTCATACTTCGCACAAACACGGTCACGGAACACTCAACCCTCCCAAAGAATATCTTCCCTGAGAAGCTTCTGCCGGAACCGGAAACCTGCATTTCAAGAGGAAACGAGATAGTGCTAAACACCATTCACTGTTTTCTAGATCTAAACATCTTTTATCTGTTACTTCAAATGGTGTTTTTCTTTTTTGGGACTCTGGTAGTTTGTTCTAAAGTTGAAGTGGTAGCAGCCAGCTGTTTCTCCTCTGTTTTTATTGAGACGAAAACCTCTCACATCAGTGGTGTTCTGTTGGTAAATACACGAGTGAGAAATGAACGGAGGACCCAGGGAAGTGTGGCGGTTCAGCAAGGAAAAAACAACTGGATGGTCCAGTTTTTGCATTCGGTCCGAACTGTGTTGTTGGTGGAGGTTTTTAGACAAATGCGAGAGAAACACTTTATTGATTTTTTTCAGCTCCACAATATATTTATAGCTATGCTCATGTTGGTAAGAGGCATAAAAATGTTTGAAGCTACTTTGTTTTAATAATTTTCTATTGCAGCTTTAAGATTTTGCACATCAAGTTCATTTTCTTTCATTCTTTACTTTTCTGTGTAAAAGGCACAGTGTGTATGGATTATTTAACTTAACAATGCCCTCTGTAAGGCTGTTTCTGTTCTGTCATTAACGGCATACTAGACATTTATTTTTCATATTTTTAACTCATTATTGTGAGACTGTATGTCCTACAATAATATTTTACAGGGTTCATTAAATGTCACTCACAGGGTATCTGCGGGTCCTTAAAAAGTCTTAAATTAGCTTTTCCAAATTTAAGGCCTTAAAAATCCTTAAAAATGACAAATGATCCTTAAATACAGTGTCCAGAGGTCTTAAATTACCAAATACCCAATAAACAAGATTATTTTATTTCTATAAAATTTTCGTGAATTCCTAGTTAGTGTTCAGCATTTTTTGTGTATGATGTTGGCGTAAGCGGAACCGTACACGTTCCGTTGGTTGTGAAAGGGGGCTATTTTTAGATGAGCATGTTAGCTGGTTAAGCTAGTGGGAGCTTGTGCCATGGGGAAGTGGAAGTTTAAGGGTAACTGGATGGTTAATCCCAAGTTCGCTATGTGGTTAGCACCGGTTCCAGGCAATAGCAGGAAATTATAGCTTAAATTAACTTTTTAAAAATAGCTTAAATTTGGTCAAAGTGGCCTTAAAAAAGGTCTTAAAAAGTCTTAAATATGGCTCCCTTAAACCTGCAGATACCCTGCACTCAGACCCCATTGCCATTTGTGGCCAGAATATTGCGCTTGAAATTTCAGAGTGGCAGGCTGCCACCTGTTGGACTTAGAAAATATAGCTGACCTGCATGGTGCCTGCTTCCAGCACGATTTAGATGGTGAACTCAGCTGATTTTTTTTTCATTTAATGATAAACTGCACCTGTAAACACTAATGAAGGCAGGAGAGACATTTCAGCTGTTAGATTAAGGTGTTATAAAGATGAACGCACAGTGAGGAGATAAGTTTCACATTTGGTTTTACTAACTGAATGCTAGGGGGTAGCAGTGCAACAGATCATCATTCTCTAAGATTCGGCATGCAAGTAGTCCGCGATTTGGTCACGTGAAGGGCCGACAGAGGCGGAGCTGGCCTAAATGGCGCCCTGTGCGAGATCCCCCGTGAGCCCCCCCCCCCCCCCCACACACACACACACACACAAGAAAAAAAATTACACCTACCACTTTGTTTCAAATGGCGTGGAGTGTATTATATTTAACGACGTTTGCTAACTGAATACAACATCCAGCTCCTGGCCACCTTCTCACCACTTGTCAAAGTTCTACTGAAATAGTGATGATGACAACACCTGCCATCGCCTTCATTCCTGGGAAATATGAAAGTAGTTGGCACCTTAGTAGGTCTTCTTCGAACTAGCTCTGTGCGTATGCTGTCGGTAATTGGTGATGGCCACTTGGCTGTGTCTGAAGAAAGAGGTTCATCATCACCTTCAATGGTGATCGTTCAGGCTTCTCTATTGACAGAAAACAGAAGCGTAACTCAACACATTGCTATGTGGACCATTTCACATATTCTATTAAAATACAATATGTGACATTCAAATTTCTCTAATGTTTCCAGGACACACACACACACGCACGCACGCACACACGCACACACACACACACACACACACACTTACTTGTGCAAAACTTACCTGACATATCTTGTTGGGGAGACGTGGCAGCTGGCCGTCCCTCATCAAGTTCACATATACTGGTAGGTCTCTCTATTGACAGAAAATGGAAGCATAACTCACCACATTGCTATATGGAACAATTCCCATATTCTGTGAAAATACTATTTAAATGTCTATAGCTAAATGTTTGCTGGACACACACACACGTGTGCACAACCCACCTAAAGTATCTTCCTGGGGAAATGTGGTGCCAGCAGACTGTCCCTCCTCGAGTTCAAATACTGGCCTACTGGTATGAGCAGTGGAGGTAGATGGCTGTTCCTCAGTGGCAGCTGATGTCATCCCAAAATATCTGTGTAGGGCTCCTGATGTTGCATAAAACAAACAATACAATCTTCATGTCACGTCTGTTGCTTTAGCATTTTAATTAACATGTTACAATGAGCATTTACAGTTTTCAGCAGTGGTGGAAAGAATTCTGAAAATCTGTACTCAAGTACAAGTACTGTTACATTGCTAAAATATTACTCATTTACAAGTAAAAGTACTGGTGTTAGAGAAATACTCAAGTAAAAGTACAAATTATTCATAAAAACCTCAGAGTATTATTTATTTTTAACGGCTGATGTCACCATCACTTCTCCAGACTGAGGCTGCCTGGAAATTGTGTGTTTTCCTTTACCAAAAGTTAAAACACCAACAATCTATTAATCATTAATAATTGATAAAATACAAAACAAGTGTTTTTCCCTAATTTTTTTGTCATTTTAAGTTTTTATTTCCTTATTCAGCAAATGTCTCCGGCACACAAAGAACTAAATGACCAGAGGAGCCACAACTATTGATTAAATATCCATGAATCCATTTTAACTGGTTAAATTCTTCAACTCTCCCACGCTGCTTCAAGGTCACTGTGAGTTAACATAGCCGCGGTGTGCTGTGCAGCACACAACGCAACACGATGACATCATCGACTTGTACAGTGCTGAAAGGCGAGACAGTCTCAACTTTCAGCTAAAACAAGACCGCTCTAGCTATTATAGTTTTTATGTTATGGCAGTTTACAGTATAAACGGGATCTTACTAGCAGGGCACCTCCAGCGGCCCGCTGCCGCTCCGTTTTTTGTGGGGTAAATAATAGCTAATTTCCTGAGTCCAAAAAGAAAGGCGAATGGCGCCGGCGCGAGACCTGCCGCCTGCCGTCAGTCAATGTATTTCAGCAAAATTCTCAAAGACTCATTTTAATTTGATAGCGTTTGGTTATCAGCCTTTCGGTTTTCCCACTCTTAGCTTTTCATAAAGCTCATTTGACAAAGAAAAAGCTAGCGGTTGGAAGTAGTTCTAAATACATGCAACGTAAGAAGCTAGCAAAAGACATTTGAAGGGATCATCATAGCACCATGCAAAACGTACAGATTAGAGAGGTTAGTTAATCAATAAGTTGGGGGACAGGCGGGAAAAATACCAACTAAATAATAAAGAGATGCATACCTGCATCTTTTCCTCATTTCTCCTCCTCTTCTTTTCTTTTTTCCGAAATTGGGCACCAGATGGCTTCGACCGCTTCTTCTCCATTATGTTTGTGAGCGGTGATATGTCAAACGGTACCTGTATCCCTCCATCATCACTCTCCGAGATCCCTCCGCCCCCCACCTGATGAAGGGCGCTATAGAGCGCACTACAGAGGCGCGGCGGACACAAGGGGGCGCAATAAAATCCCAATATAAACGCAAACACTGACTTTGTTGTGCTTTTATTGCAGAAATATTATTATTATCATCACTCATCACTATTATTATTATGAAGAACATGTGATTTCTATGTTTTGTTGATGGAAGAAAAAAAAAAAAAAAAAAGAAATTAAATGCCGCCCCCTCCAGACTGCCGCCCTGTTCGGCCGCACATGTTGCACATATCAAGCTCCGCCACTGAGGGCCGAGGCACCACCTGTTCAAACGAGAAAAGCATAGTGGTGGTAACGGAAGAGGAGAGGAGCTTGAAAAATCATCTGCATTGTTTAAGTCACACATATGGGATAAATTTGGCTTTCCTTTAAAAAATGACACAAGCGGCAAAAATGAATACACACATATACGTGTCTCCCGTCTGATGGTGCAGTGCCATGCACACGTATCTCCAATTGCTGTGAAAGCAGGAAGAGTGGTGGCGTGTGCAAAATGCCTGGGACAATTATTGCAATAATGTGATGGGACCAGAAAGATTGGTGGAGACAAATCTGTAAAAGAAGAAGAAAGAAAACTAAATAGCAGGCTCGATATATATTCCAGATATCTATAATTCTATCATTCCTAGTAAAAATGAACATTCCAGATATCCATACTTACTGAATATCTGAAATGTTCATTCTAGATGGTAAGAATTATTCAATGAAAAATATTTGGCGTTATAGATACTAAAGAACGTAACTGCATTAAATGAGTCTTGGTCACATTATTTTTTTATTTAATGAGCATTGAGCAGAAGAATGTTGCAATTAATGTTCTACATAATTAATAGAGAGCAAAGTAATTTGTCTTTTCTTTCTGCTCATCTGAAAAATGATCCAATCTGAAATGACTCCAAACCGTGAGTTTTTTGATCCGTTGCACCACTAGTAGGGGCGCTAAAAGCAAACCAAAACTGCCAAGTGTGCCTATAAAACTTATTTTACTGCGAGTGGGAGAGCTGAGCTCCTTTTTAAATCTCTTCTGGTGTCTGGAATACTCAGACCTTTTACATCACCCTGAAACTGGTTGTTTTGATGACAAAGTACCCTCCTGAAAGACAAACTTAATGACTGTAATTGAATTATCACACTGGTATTTTAAGTGAAATATAGTGTATTTTGCCCAAACTGACAAGAACCAATAAGTCAGCTAATGGCTTGCATTACACACACTTACTGCAGAAGGTTCCCCCTTCAGGCTGTTTTGCCCTTGAATTTGGAGGCCTGACCCCATTCACTCAGTTTATTACCAGTCTGTCCATGGAGGGGCAGTAGGCATGGGAATTTTGATACATCTACCATTAAATTCAATAGCAAAGGGTCTTTTGTTTGCCAGGTTCGAGCATAAGTTTATATAGAAACCAAATTACTGTGATTAGTCTTAATTAGAGTGTTGCCTTAAATTAGATAACAGTGATGATATCAAAGTACTTAAAATGATTTTTAGCAGGGTATATAGAGATATAAAGGTCATTGTTGTGTGTTCTTCTGCACATAAAGCAGTACATTTATCCCTCATGGAAATATAAGACGGATATCTGGAAGGAGTCCCTGAAGACCCCTGAGGCATCCTGAAGAGTTTTGTTTGTGTGGTAAAAGCAATCTGACCCAACAGCATGTTGTACTGTGGAAGACTAAACTAAATGACTCCTGCTACAGGATGCAGTTTTTTTATCCTGGGATGGGTGTGAATGATTCACACCTGAGGGATAATTTCCCATCATTCTGATTATTGGAATCACATTATTGGGATGCAGAGCTTGTTATGTGAAATGATGTGAATTCTTTCTGTGTTCTTATCTTTCACAGAGGAGGAGTACAAACGTCTAAGCGAGGCTTTGGCTGATGAAGGCACTTACAACGCAGTGGCCTTCAAATACAGCGCCGACTACTATGATCCTTCACAGCCCACAGAGGAGGAGGACGCCAACAAGGAGCAGGGTGAGAAATTGTTAGTCACAGATATGTGGTGTTGGTTTGACCGATGGGGCAAAACAAGGCCAAACAAACAAGTTCATATCACGTTTATCGGCAGTGCCAACGCTACAAAGAACATGTATTGGCAGAACGGTGATTTGTAAAGGCAGGAAGTGGACCGGGAAGGAGAAATAGTCAATTTTGCCATTCAAGTCTGTGGCACTAATGGGCTTTTTTGTTCTGGACTCGTGGATTTTGTGAATTAGTCACATCATAATGTTCATAAGAACACTTAGCATGAAAATCCTTTTTTGTTCTCTCTGTACCAGCGATGAGCTTGTGGCCCTTTATTTTATGTTCAGGTGAACCTTTGCAGATGTAGATGTGGGGAGAAGTCATTTAAAATAAATTTCTGTCTGCAAGGCACAAATAAAAGCCAGCACATTCAGAAAACGTTGCACAAAAATACCATTTGTGATCATCTAATTCTCCATCGCTTTACCTGAGGATCAGAGCTATTTAACTTACATGGAATCCTAAACTTTTAAATCAGGTCTTTTGCCCCCAAACATATTTTATGACTTTTCATAAATACCCTCCTTTTGCTCAAGGCCTAAAAGTCAGATTGGACCTTCTTAAAGATTCACAAAGAAGTACTCACCTATACATCTCAGCAACTTGAGATATTTGTTGCAGAGTTTGCCAGAAGCACTTTTCATAGCCTGCCAGGTAAGCAGAGTTGATGGCTTTCATTTTCTCTGGAGAATTTGAAGAACAGGGGCATTAAAATGTCTGCTGAAGGAACTGATATTTAAATTTGCTTTTGGGGAATAACTCATCATGGTTCATGTCTCACTGGTCAATTTAAAAATATGTCTTTGACATTATCACATATGCAGATTCATTATAATGGGTTGAGAACCTTCCCAGAACAATGCATATTATTCCCGACAGAATCTTTGGTTTAAGACACCTACTGTGTATCTAATTAAATGTAAACAAGTAAAATTTCACCAATTTTTTAATCTCACTTAACATTGGAAGCATCAGTGGCGTGAAACGGCACCGGAACGTCACTGCTTCAAATTAGAATCCATTATAATAATACTAATAATGCATTGAACTTATATAGCGCTTTTCTAGACACCCAAAGACGCTTTCCACACACACTCACATTCACACACTGCTAGTGATGGTAAGCTACTTGTAGCCACAGCCGCCCTGGGGAGGTCTGACAGAGGCGAGGCTGCCATTTGGCGCCGTCGGTCCCTCTGACCACCACTAACACAGGCAATTTGGGTGAAGTGTCTTGCCCAAGGACACAACAGCAGGATACCCCTGGCGGGAGCTGGAATTGAACCCATGACCCTCCGATCATGAGGCAACCCGCTCTACCACCTGAGCTACTGCTGCCCCATTATAGTCTATGAAGTTAATTGAAACCAGCCATGATGCAGAAGTTTTCAGGCGCTGCCCAGAAGCGGTGTGGCACTAAAGACCAGGTTTCATTTTTTAAAAGACTACTGCAGCGATGGGATATCAAATCTATGTAGAGTATGTCAATACAAGTGGCCTAATGGCTTATTTACTCTCTGCTAGGGCTAGGGATGCACCGATCAGGTTTTTTGCTGCCGATCACCGATACCGATATCAAAGAATGCTGATCACCGATACCGATCACGTGGATTGGCCAGAAATTTTCTACAACATTATAATGAGTGCTACAAACTACATAATCTGGGAATAAAGGAAATGTAACCTAATCTAAAATGGTCTGTATTAGGGTTGTCACGGTGTGAAAATTTAACCTCACGGTTATTGTGACCAAAATTACCACGGTTTTCGGTATTATCGCGGTATTTTTTTTAAACGTGCTACATTTTCACACAACTAAATAAACCCTGTATGTCAGGAAATATTGTCCTCAGTTTGCGTCTAAATTTTGCCTAAAATGTGTTATTTTGTAATTATGTTGTTTGTTTACATTTTTTCCCTTTAATCTTTAAAATACCAATATTTGCCTATAACTTCTTATTTTATGTCTGTTTGATGTCATCATTTTAAAAATAGTAGATCAGATGATACTCGGTACTCAAGTAGCCTTCTAATCAGATACTTTTTTACCCTTACTTGAGTAATAATCCCTATATCAGGAAAATATTGTCCTCGGTTTGTGTTCCAGTGAGCTTTGCAGATGTGGGGAAATGTCATCAGGCAGTAATCATTGTTAAATTCATAATTATTCTTGGAGAGAGACCAACTCTTATCTGCCCCTGGGATCCCCGTAATGCATAGCGTCATTTCAACATGGAGGTGTCCGTGACATGGTTTACATGCAGGTAGCGGCGCTGCAGCTGCTTTATATAGCGACTCGTTGCATTCTCCCTCAACCCAAATCCTCGGATCACGCATTTTAGCTAAAACGCTAACGTTAACTTGCCTTGCGTTGACTGCAGAGTTGTGGGTGATGGTCACGCAGATGTGTCATGAGATTTGAAGCGTTGCTGCCTTTCACAGACACTTTTTCTGCACGTGCTGCAAACAGGATAGCCGTCTTCTGTAAACTCCCTCGGCATTCTTCAAATATCTAAAAGATGCCCGTACTTCCCACTTTGTCTTCTTTGAGGGATAATAAATGTCCTCCTGAGCGCTGCCGTCTCCTCCTTTGACCATTATTTCAGCTTTAGCTTCAAGAAAGTTTTGGTTGTAAACAACAAAGCGCGCATGTGCCGCCGGCAACTTCAGCAGATGATATGGTGGCTGGTAAGGGTCACCGCGCCTACTACACCGCAGCCACGGTAAACCCACCAAGATAATATAGTTTTTTAAAAAACAAGACGGTTATTATTATAGTCAACTTTTTTTTTTAACCGGGGTTTACCGCTACACTGGTTACCGTGACAACCCTACCTGATCGGTCTGCTTTGATCTATTTTGAAAACTCCGATCAAAACCGATAGGGGCTGTACTGTTGCACCCAATGTGACCCCGTGTCCTATATTGAGATTCACAGCCAGCTAAACTCTTTCTTGCATTGCTCTCCTCCAATGAACAGGCACGTGTTGTATTTGGACGGAATTTAATGCAACAAAGTGTGAAACTGAAATGATACAAAATACAGAAAAAATAATCTTAGTGTACAGCACAGATGATCAATTTAAACAAACATCCTTAGCATAGGTGCACTAAAGGATTCATCTCAACAACATGTTAACATTGCTTCCTATCAGATCCTCAATCTATAAAACATGCTAAGTAACTCAACTCATTCCCAATAATATCTTAAATCCTGTGTAAACTTAATATACAGAGAAAAACTCACTCATATTTCCACTCAAAGGGATGAAATAGAGCGGATGGCTTCAGATTGCTGAACAGATGGTTTTGCTTCTCGCATATGGGAAACTTACTGACACACTTCTTCTACACACTGGCTCAACATAGCAACTGTTCAAACCTGCGCCCCCTACTGGCCAGGAAGAAAACATGAACCTAAACTGGTTCCAATACACTCCCCGTCTGGCATTATTCTTAAAATGCCACTTAACCCCATCAAAATAACATGTTAATCTCTTAAAAGAAGGATACAGTCCGATATAGGTCTGCAGAAAGTTTTCGACGTCTTGTCTCGTGCAACCTTGACTTCCAACTTCCTGACAACTCCGTCTTTGCTTGGAAGCGTTTTCACAATGATGCCCATAGGCCACTCATTTCTCTTTAGTTGCTTGTCCTTCAGAAGGACGATGTCCCCTTCTTTTAGGTTCGGTTTCCTGTGCTGCCACTTCTGACGACTTTGGAGCATGTGGAGGTAATCCTTCTGCCACCTGGCCCAGAATGTATCAGCAAGGGCTTGAACTCTTTTCCACTGACGCGTGTACACGTCAGCCTTGGTGAAATCTCCAGATGGTATAGGGACCGGATCAAACTTCTGGGTAAGTAGACTCGCAGGTGTCAGGATGAATGGAGCATCAGGATCGGAGGAAACGGGTATCAAGGGCCTCGCATTGATGATAGCTGTAACTTCGGCCATCAATGTTGTCAGGACCTCATGTGTCAAGGTGGGGTTACCTGCTTGGAGAAGCATCGAATCTAGGATGCGTCGTGAGATTCCTATCATACGCTCCCAGGTGCCACCCATATGGGATGAGTGTGGAGCGTTGAACACCCAAGAACACCTCTGTTGTTGAAGGTAGGCATCCAGAACTGGCTCATCAGGTTTTGGAGGATTCAACTTCAGGTCTTTGGCAGCACCAACAAAATTGGTTCCTCGGTCTGACCTCAACTGTTTTGCCGGGCCTCTGATGGCGAAAAACCTATGAAGTGCATTAATAAAACTAGAGGCACTCAGAGTCTCAACCACTTCTATATGAATCGCCCTGGTGGACATGCAGGTGAACAAGACTGCCCATCTCTTACTGTTAGCCTGGCCACCCTTGGTTCGGCGTGCTGAAACCTCCCAGGGACCGAACACATCGAGACCAACATAAGAGAATGGGGGGTCAGTCTGTAGGCGTTCGGCAGGCAAGTCTGACATGATCTGCTGTTCCATCTTGCCCCGAAGCTTTCTGCAAGTGACTCATTTGTGGATTACACTGCTGATGGACCTCTTCGCACCAACTATCCATAGTCCACTTGCTCTCACAGCCCCCTCTGTAAAACATGATCTGCTGTTCCATCTTGCCCCGAAGCTTTCTGCAAGTGACTCATTTGTGGATTACACTGCTGATGGACCTCTTCGCACCAACTATCCATAGTCCACTTGCTCTCACAGCCCCCTCTGTAAAATGTCTTCCCTGGTGCTGGACAGCCTCGTGGTGGTGTCGGATAAGCAATGTGGCAATATGATGCTTTCCTGGTATCAGAAGAGGGTTAGTTTCGTGACTTGTTAAGTTGGATGCTGCAAGACGTCCTCCCACTCGCAACAAGCTGTCGTTATCCATGAAGGGATGAAGCTTGAGAAGAGTACTAGTGCATGGGATTTCTCTTTTCCTCATGATACAGTTTATTTCTTCTGCATAGACATC